TTTATTTATTTTTTCTTAAAGAGGAAAAATATTTGCAGTGGATAGACCTGGATGTTGTCTGAGACAACATAAATTCTAAAAATAATTCTAGTATATCATGATTATTATACATACTAGTGTTGTGGAGGAAGGATTTGTTTGCTTTAAGTAAATGTTTTAATATCACACTGTGAAAATACTCATATTCATATTTATTTAAAAACAAACCCTGAAGCATGAGTAAGTTTGTTTAATAGCAGTGATTCCAAAACATGGTTATAAAACCCATCAGGGTACGTTTGCAGTAGTTTGTGCAGTAGCCTATGTGGAAAGATGAGCTAAACTCAATTTTTTTTTTAAAGTAAATAAATAAATAGTAGATATTACACTTAAATTAAAGACTAAGCAGAGCAAAAAAATCAAGTCAATTAAAAGTAAGGGACACAAATAGACAGTTCAATGCATTTAAAATAGATCAGTAAAAACAAAAAGGTGAATAAATGTCTTACATAGATACCTAAAAATGTGGAGAACAGATGAAGTTGTGAACTAATAGCATGGGGAAACAAGTTGTTAGCTAAAAGTAGGACTAACAACTAACACTTCTGGCTAAAGCTATGGCTAAAGCCAAAGCTAATAACATGAATAACAGCTAAAATCGTTATCCAATAGTATCACTAACAGTTGAAATTATTAGCTAAATGTGTTGATAAGAGTTGAAATTGTTGGCTAAATGCATAGCTAACAACTGAAATTGTTAGGCAGTAGTATAGCAAACAGTTGAAATTGTTAGCTAATAACATCAGTAACAGTTAAAATTGTTGGCGAATTGTGTGGCTAACAGTTGAAACTGCTTGCTAATAGCATGGAGGAACAATTGGAAATTGTTCGCTAAAAGTGTGGCTAACAATTGAAATTGTTAGCTAAAATTTTAATTTATGTCAGTCCTATAATAAAAGGTATGAAGGACATGTGGGCAGGAGGCAGTGCTCTGAACCTCTGTCCTAATGGCAACAGCCTGACTTTGACTAGAAAGAACTGAGCTACACAGATCTGCAATAAAAACCCACAATTAATATTAAAATTGCCTCAGCTTAGCATCTATAAACCTATTTAACCTGCAGATGTCCAGCAGACAAATTGGTAAATACATTCCCCCGACATGGTGCTAATATTTCTCGACAAAATTAAAATAAATATCCATTTAAATAAAAAATCTGGGATGTGCCCTTTAATCAAATGTGAACTGAGTGAAAGTGAACCTCTGCCCAGCTGTTTAGTATTCTGCCCCATTGAACAAGGCGGTGCGTTATGTAACAGCTGGGAGGATGTGTGAACCAGGATCAGATGGCAAAAACTCATTTGTGCTACTCTGGATTCATAATTGCATTGAATTACATCCGTCTAGTAAAAGTATTTAAACAAAAACAGCCCGCATATGCTTAAAAGTACTTTATAAGCACAGTTTAAATCAGATTTTAAAACAGCTGTAATATGCTTTCTAAGGAAGAATGATTAATGAATTTGTATCAGTATGTGTAGCTTAAAATTATTTGAATGCAAGAGAATAAAAGAGCAGAAATAGAAAACGATGGAGAGGTTGTTTACTTGCCTTATCTCCAGCTGGATCGGAGGAAGGCGGGCGGGATTTCCCTCTGCTCTCGCTTTCTTTTTCTGTCTGGATGCAGGAGATCCCGAAGCATCGATGCAGAGACGTGGAGGAGGGGTGTTGGGTTTCTTGATGCAGTCTAGACAAGGTCTGAATACTTATCAGCTCTGTGTGTTTGTGCAGATCCCTCCTCTGGTTGTACAGTGTGTCGGTCCACGTACACAACCCGCAATTAGAGGACATCCCTTTGAATTACCTGCATTAATCAGGCATGAAATCTGATCAAATGTGATTCATGTTGTTCAAAGAAAAGCTCAGCTGAGGAAAGAGAAACAACACTGTATCGTTACTTTAACACATGAACAGTCCAGAAGATTTCCAGAAAGTTTCTTCAAGGTCAAAAAGCACTGAGCGCTGGGATGAAAGTGGCTCTAATGAGGACCCACCCAGGAGGGGACGACCGCTTCATTAGAGCGAGCCGCCTCACAGATCAACAATCAATAAATCAACCACAAAGAGACACAAAATAACCACAAAGAGACGAGAAAGGACACAGAGACACAACGAAACAACGAAGAGACTCAAAACGAATACAAAGACACACAAAATGAACGCGAAAAGACATTAAAGCCATCTATAATTAGACATAAAATCATCACAAAGACGCTCAAAATGGCAGCTAAAGACATCAAAGAACCACAAAAGACATAAAAGTTTCACAAAAAAATTAAACTCAACTACAGAGACATATTAAATGACCACAAACAGATGCAAAATGACCGCAAAGAGACACAAAATGACCAAACTGGTATTTTGAGGGCCGTTTACATGTGTTTACTAAATGCTAATATTTTAGAACAAAGTGATCACAAAGAGAGTCAAAGGACTACAAAAAGTCACAAAACCACTACACTGACACACAACATGAGCACAAAGAGACAAAAAATACCTTGAAAGACACAAAATAACCACAAAAAAACATGAAAGGACAACAAAGGGGGAAACCAACCACAATGAGACACAAAACAGCTGCAAAATGAAGACAAAAGGACGACAAAAGACACTAAACGATGTAAACAAAACAACTGTAAAAGACGCAAAGACAAAAATGAATGCAAAAGAGTCAAAACAAATACAGAGATGCAGCTGACTACAGGGAGACAAAATGGCAAAACAGATGCAAAGTGACCAGGAAGAGGCGCAAAAGTACCACAAAGAGACAAAAAAAGACCCACAAAAATATTACAAAGAGATGGAAACAAGTACAACAAGACACAAAACAACTACAAAGAGACACAACAAGACAGCGAAACACATAAAAGGACCACAGAGAGATAGAGGACCATAAAATATCCACAATGAGACATAAAATGACCACAAAGAGACTCAAAGTGTCGACAACGAGATGCAAAACACAGAAAAAGACATAAAAGAGCCACAAAAAGATAGAAACCGACTACAAAAAGAGAAAGCAACCACAACAGACACAAATTGCTTCGACCAACGACTGT